AAATGAATGCTTTTCATAGTCTTCGTTGAACGTTTCACCGTGATTCAGAGTTAGGGGGTTAAAGTAGGGTGATGGTTAAGGTTTAATTCAGTCGTTAACCTGCAACATTTGTTGTATTTATGTATGAATATGAATATGTGGGTATCTCTTTAAACAGCAGAAGCAATGGCGAATCACATGTTAAATCCTCAACTTTCCATACAAAAGAAGTTTGTTCAGTCATTAAATTTACAATGGACCTGATCTGCCATAACACTTGATACGTATTTTCTATGGTTTTTGCTTTTAACCGTATTATTTTCCTCCTTCACCGCCCCCCTTCTGCTCCTTATTAAATCTCTACCACTGTTGCTAACTTGACTCTCGTTGAAATTTTAGGTGGTTCGCCATCAAAGTGCACTTTGAAACTTGACTGAAAGAATTCAGTCCGCACCAAAGAAAGGATCAGACATATTACACTAGTTACTGACTAGTGTTCAATCAAAAATATCCAATAGTTAGTCCTACATGAAGTCAATCACGAGCCCAAATAGCTCACTGAGATATGCAAGCCCTACCACCACGTCAAAGTAGCAGCTATCGGTCGGAATCAGCTAGAGCCAGCGAGCACCGAAACGACTGTTCACTACTCCCTTCTGGTTTCTCATTGGTCCTCTAACTAGTGTCAGCTACTGAGCAAACTTGGTTGAAATTATTTCTCCGCATGCATAACAACAATAATAGTAATATTTAATTCAATTTGGACATTCCTGTCTGTTGATTAGGTTCAGGTGCTCGGTCTCTGTTTACATGTCGGCTCCTTGTGCAGATACTTCAACGATGTCTGAGAATTTAACTGGAAGTAATTTGGTAGACGGTGACTAGCAGTGGAATCCATCATGAGACGCATTTCGTCCTATTTGGTACTCGTCAACTGGGTGTACTTACATTCCCCAGTGAGTCAGTGATAGTCTTCCCACTGAGGCTTGAACCCAATACGCATATTTTCAAATGTCAAGGCGTCAACAAAGGCCGAGCACTTCGAGCCAATCAGTCAACAGGGAAGTCCAGATTGAATTAAATAATATTCAAGTATTCGTTTATAGGGATTTGATTGATTGGTTAAAGGATTTCATCATGAGCTGACATCGACTAGAGAACCATTGTGAAACCTAGTAGTATTTGACAGCTGTTTTGCCAGGTTAGTTTGGGACTCTTCAGCAGTACGCACCTACTGCCAAGGTTCGAACTCAGGACCTTCTGGTTAAAAGGCGAGCTTGTAGACCATTGAGTCACTGGGACCCGCTCCACTGGTCTGCTCATGATTTCTAACTTCTGCCAATTCAAGACATGGCGTGACCTCTAGCCAATCTCATCGCTGGCGAATATTTATCCTCACTCCCGACCTGCTGGTCACGACTTCCCGATGTCAGCTCATGATGAAATCCTGTAACCAATCAATCAAATCCCTACAAACGAATACTTGGATATCAATGAGATGCTCACTAGTGACTGGCCCTATTCAGGTAGGTAGTTACCTGGATTCTAGTGGGAATTCGTGACCAGTGGGGTGCAGCAGGTCGAGTGTGAGGACAAATACTCGCCAGCGATGACACTGGTTAGAGGTCGCGCCATGTCGTGAATTGGCAGAAGTTTGAATAAAATAATAACTGATACCTGTTGCACAAGAAGGGGATGGCTGTTGTGGCCCAAATGGTCTAGTGGATAACACTTTGGCATTTGAAACTATAGGTACTGGGTTCGAGCCTCATTCGGGTGGGGAGTGGGGAATAGCATTACTGACTCACTGGGGAATGTAGGTACATCCAGCGTACGACGAGGAGGAAGTGCACATCCTGATGGATTCCACTGGTAGTCACCATCCACCAAATAAAATTGTAATAGTTTGCTCTATAGATAATAATCTGAGGCAAGCAATACACAGAGTAAACATGCGCGTGATCACAATAGTTAGTGACATTCGATAAGTGTATACACATTGATCGATTACTTTTATTATTTTTTTATAATCTCATACTGATAGAAGTTAAATATGCTCGTTTGTTCTCATTTGTTTGCCTTCGTTTTTCTTTTCTATCGATATGAAGTGGTGGGCTGACAGGTAGGCAGGCAGTCGCGGACTGACAGCATGCAGTCAGGCATTACTTTCCTCTGCATAGTGTATTTTATTTATGTCGTTAGTTAGTTAGTAGAGGAAAGAGAATTAAAATTAAAGATTAATTTTTGTCTATTATTTAGTTCTGTTATTATTATTGGTTGTTAATAATTATAACAACTGCTATAATTATGTGTGTGTAGCGCAAGAATTGATTGAACAATTGAATATTGATCAATTTTTTTTGCTTCCACTTATGATCCACTCTTAGGTATATAAGTGTTAGAGAAGTTATGCCCCTGAATATACTACTGATACTACTATTATTATTATTATTATTACTGATAATAATAGGAACCATTGGAGATTGGGTTAGTTAACTAAGTACCTTCAGACTTCTCTGAATATGTATTCGTCATGGAATTAACGGATTCTATTCAAAAACACGAACTTGGTACAGTATGGGCAGAAAGTGAGAAGAACGAGGGAAATTGTAGCATGTTTATCATTGGTGATTGCAATTCTTGGCCGTATCTGATAACGTTTCTAGCCACCGATTGGAAATATCTTTCGGATCCCAACCAGGGGGTCGTAATGTACCATCTGATGGTAACTTAACACAAATATCCTACATTTCACAACGCCACGTCATAATAGGCTGACGACCTCTTCGCTTTTTCAGTCCAGTCCCAATTGGCTAGCGAGCGGACACGTCGGTATGGAAACCTCTGGGATGACGTCCGGCGTACATGTCCAAGCAACGGAAGCCGGTGTTTGCAAATGACGACGACATTCAATGAATGATGGTCTCTACAGTGTCCAAACATACGTTGATGGATCTCAGAATTACCCATGATGATGCCATTGGGTTCGAGCAGTTCTACAGAGGAAACGATGCTCCGTTCCGAGGTCTTATATAACATCTTGTTATTGTGTTTATCTAAGTGCACAGATGATGCCTAATGATCCTAGTTCTCTGAGGATTGAGGTTTCAAATATGTAATTGTTTAGCTAACCTATGCGCTTTTGAAGCCACGTTGAATGAGATGGCTAGGATAAGTATTAAACATGTAAAACCATCACCTTCCTCGACGAGCACTGGTAGCTGACGTAGGATAAAGTTTGAAAAGAGTTAGGGGCGGCAAAATCAAAACAGTGCATCATCCCACGAAGTCTTTAACATGAAGCTTGAACCAGCCACTTTAGGAAGTGTAGACTGTCTAGTTGGTGTTCTCGAGAAGTTTAAAACCAATAGGTACAGGCTCTTCATTGTTGTGAACTTCTGAATTTGAAGTTAGGTGGTTTCGGTCAGTCAGTAGAAATCCCTAGTACCTAGGTTTCGTGTCCAATTGACATTCTTCTGTAAAAAGCAATCTGCAACCTTAAAAGAAGTGATATCCCCATTTAAAACTCAAACCGGCGTCGTTTACTGGAGACACAGGTACACCTTGCTGATGAGCATCAATCGGTATGAAATCTAGGTTCAGGACTTCATACCCCATTATCTCTAACTATCTAACAAGTAATATTAATCGATCATAGACAAATCTGACATATTTAGATCCCACATCATATGGCATCAGTAAATACAGGGGGACGTGAGTTTGTGATCTAATAATTTAAAATACATTATCTAAACAGGCACAACTAATGAAGCTGTTCAAGTGTTGGTTTGTAGGGGTTTGATTGGTTATGGGATTTCATCATGAGCTGACATCAGTTAGAGAACCGATGGAAAACCAACTAGGAGTACTGGACAGCTGTTTCATCCTGGTTTGGGACTCTTCAGCAGTACGCACCCACTGGGGCTCGAACCAAGGACCTTCTGGTTGCAAGACTAGTGAGCTCGTAGACTATTCAGTCACTGGGACCCAATCCAATGGTCCAAAGTTAGAATTCATGGACCATTGGATTGGGTCCCAGTGACTGAATAGTCTACGAGCTCACTAGTCTTGCAACCAGAAGGTCCTTGGTTCGAGCCCCAGTGGGTGCGTACTGCTCAAGAGTCTCAAACTAGGATGTAGGAAACAGTTGTCCAGTACTCCTAGCTGGTTTTCCAACGGTTCTCTAAGTGATGTCAGCTCATGATGAAATCCCGTAATGAAGCTGTCTTAAAAACTGCCTTCGCTCCATATTGAAGACCAGATAACCAGAAAAGGTAAGCAGCAAAGAACTCCGGCGAGCAACGAATTAACCAAGAACCTGTAACCCGAAAGATATACAAAGGCAAGTGGAAATGGATTGGACATACTCTGAGGAGACCACCTCTGAGTGACGTGCTGTCGAGTGAAAGCCTAGTGGGCAACGATAAGTTGGACGTTGGTCCGCGAGTGATATGGAGGAGACTGTGTGAGCAGAAGATAAAGGTTTATGGGCAATTGTAGAGCCGGTTGCAGAGGAGGACTTCATAGAACAAAGTGAAATGGAGATATACTGGCGTGAAGTCCTATGTTCCACTCGAAACCCAAGGGCATATCATTATTCGTAATAATAATAGTAGATAAAAAACATTGTTTACTGTGGTCTAAACTTTTATTTTGTTGTAGATCATCTATAATCTTCATTTTTTTATTCCTTTACGTTCCCAGTGGAACATAGGGCTTCAAGCTAGAGGCTTGAAGTTTCGGTAGCATTGGTGTTTATTTTTATGGCATGGGTTCGCTAGCCTCATGCCCAACCTTCCCTCTTTATCAGTATTATTACTGGCTTAGTAAGGTAAGGGAGTGCCTTGTCGGTTGGGAATTGAACCCTGAACGTCATCCGTGTTTGGCGAGCATTCTACCGCTGTACCACCGACGTATATAATCTTCATTAGTAAAGCCGATTAGGTTAAGGGTTGACCTATCTCACTGATTTGTATGCATTCTTATGTATATATGTTTGTTTCTCTTCTAATCAACTTTAGATGATATTGAAGTTGACGACATTTCAACTAATTCAACGAATGACTATCGTCAATCTTCACATGAAAAGTCTACAAATCAACTATCACAAGGTGATAATTCTATTCTAAACGCTTTACTACAATTTTTACAAAAAACTAACAATGGACCACTTTTACCAACAACAGAATCAAGTTTATTTGAATCAAAGATGTCGACAGTAACTACTATAGAGGTGAGTTATTGATTTTTTTTCAATTTTCGCCTTTATTGATAATTAAGCGTTAATTGATTGTCATTTACACCTGACTGACTGACTGATAGCCGCTGCTACCTTGACATAGCTGATGTATCACAGTGTGACCCAACCAACCATTTGTACTAGCTAGAAGTAATGTTAGGCATAACGTTTAGGGTGAAAGTAGTTATAGTCGTAGTCGAGGTCATTTCTTACGATGTTGAGGGTCTGTGGATGAAGTCGTACTGCTAGCGAATAGGACCAGTAAGCCATTCCATCCGATTGTTTTAAAATCAGAAGGAAAAGAAATTGGGGGATAACATCTAACAACACCTTGACCTCCTACCTTCTTTGTCTAACAACAAACACGTCCAGAGAATGTCAATAATCCCTATCCGGGTATTATTGAATAGAACGAAATAAGTGGGATTCATTTTCCTGTCTATCTGTACAATCGCATATATCTATGTACGTTTTTTATGAGAGAGGGGTTGTAACAGAAATGATGAGTTGTTATCATCATGGTTGAGTGAAGTGGTTGGTGGAGCGTGTTGACCACTTCATGTATTTGGGAAGTTGCATCAGCCAACGCCAGCCGGTTGATCACTGACGAAATCTCAGCACGGATACAGAAGGATCGTTTCGTATATGCCGATAACTGCTACCTTGCCGTGGTGGTCGGGCTTGAATGCCGCAGTGACCCAACAAGCTAAACTGGCTGGGACTCATGTCCCTGCAGGTCCTACCATGTCAGGAAGGTTGTTTGGATAGCGGTTAGACTAAAAGCAGTTACCATGAGGTACATGGGCTCCAGAATTCAATCGGATCAAATGGCGTATGAACCCATATGGGTCACCGGCAACCATGGGAACGCACCTCCACTGCCTTGTGGATTAGACTCCACGTCAAAGGCTCGGGGGGTGGTCCGTCAGGGAAACCACCGGCTTCAGTCTGAGCGCCCGGGCAATATCTCAGCCCTCACACAATATTGTGTGGCGCATCTTTCTTGGTGCCATATTGTACCAAGTTTTTCTGCGTTTAAATAAATAAATTCGTATATGCCAGTTTACGCCGTCTCTGGCTTAGTAGACGTGATATCCGGCTGGCTGTCGACCAAAGATCGTGTGTACTGCTCATAAGTCCGCTCCGTCCTCCCCTATGTCTGTGAGACCTGACCATTGAGAGTGGAAGACATGAAAAGGCTAGCTAGCTGTCTTTGATCATAAGTGTCTGCGTTCTATCTCCCGTGTGAAGCGTTATAACAAGGTGAGCAATACTGAGGTTATTCAACGGTCGAGTGCTAGGTAAGGAGGGAAAATTAATAAACGATTAAGATGGTTAAGATATGTATCATGCATGCATGTCTAGCCATCTATCGCCTTCCTTGACGGGCCATGTTAACTGACATAGGGTCAGGTTGGAAAAGAGAAAGCTAGTGGTGGTCACACGAAAACATGGCTTCATCAGTCAATAAAATCCACAACAGTTAGTTTAAGCCAGCCACGTAAGGAGGTGTAGACTTCCTGACTGGTTGGGGTCCTCGGGACGGTAAAAACCAATGAAGGCTGGAGACTATTGGTGATATGGCTCATAAATCGCTGTCAATGGCTGGCCGGTGCAGATGCATCCACTCCTTGTGGCTTATAATATCCAATATTGTTCTTCGTTAGTACTATTCTTTTTGCCTCAAATCTCTGTTGTGAGTCTCCTTTTACTTTCTTCTCTTGCTTTTTATGCTCAGTGAAGTGTAGCGACTCTTACTGCTGCACATCTGTGTAAAGTTTTATGTTAAAACCAGTCAGTTAGTCAGTCAGTCAATCAGTCAGTCAGTGAATCGTTATCCAGTTATTTAATATTGCATCACTGTGTAATAATATTTGAAGAAAAAAAACTTGTCTAACATGAAAGTCTGCAAATTACAAACACGTTCACAAAATTCGAGACAAAGAATAACAGTGGTAAATAAGGTCATAAAATGAATAATAATAATAATAATAATAATAATAATAATAATAATAATAGTAATAGTAATAATGTCAAAAGAAGGCTGGAAAATTCCACTAAACATCACATTGCAGTCTACTTAACGTTCTCACATAAAAAACAACTTCACCGTGTAACTTTTTTTCTCTGTCTTATGCATCGTAATACGTAATATGTGTATATATATCTGTAGTACCAACAAAGACTGTCTGAAGTAATAAAACAAAACAAAAAACACAACACCAACAACGGATTGTTTTCAAGTTTCTAACCTACATTTTTCATTTTATGCTTATCACATGACAGACACGTCAATGTAAAAGCCACGTCACGTTTTCAATTTGTCCAGAAGTCTAGAAAAAATAAATCACCCTAGAAGTCATATACAAACAGTAAGGCATATATAGAGAGAGGCATTCACTAGCTATTATCAACATCATATGATGCTTACGCAATCATGTGATAGAAATACAGATACAGATACAAGTAGACAAGTTTTATAACGTCTAAAAATTGTGACAACCAATGAGATAACCGCAATACACAAGATTGTATGTTAGTTATCACACTGATGCTAGAAAACCAACCAGACGTTAAACTAAGGAAGTTAATTATTTATGTATTATTATATTATTTATTATTTCACATTAATCATACATTAATGTTGCCGTTCAGCAAGTAGCCATTTGTTTTTTGGTTGCACACTAGTCAGTAACTAGTGTAATGTGTCTAGTCCTATCTTTGGTGTAGACTGAATTCTGTCAGTCATGTTTGCAATGTGGCCACCATGCCATTTTGTGGCTAGCCATTACGGTGCACTGTGAATTGTTGGTATTAGATGGTTGGACCTAGGTTTCGTGCTAGTTGGCACTCACTAGTCAGCAAGGCAGGCGTATTTGCAACCTTGAAGGAACTCATGTCCCGCTCTCTTTCTGAGATTCCAACCCGCGTCACGTTGACTGATAGAATTCAGTCTGCACCGAAGATAGGCCTAGAGACATTACATTAGTTACTGACTAGTGTGTAATCAAAAATATATTCAATACAGTCCTACAGGAGGTGAATCGCTAGCCTGAATAGCTCAGTAGTGGTCACGTTTTTGACTGCAGGCGGCACTGGGTGACGCGGGTTCGGATCTCAGAAGGAGGGACATGAGTTCCTTCAAGACGGTTGCAGATACGCCTTGCTGACTGGCGAGTGCCAACTAGCACGAAACCTAGGTCAAGCAAGGCTTCCTGCGGATTGCCTCCAATCATCTAATAGCAAGTAGCCATATTTAAACAATGATTGATATCAGTTAGAGAACCATTAAAGATCAGGGAGAGTACTGGACAGCTATTTCGTTAGCTGATGTATGTGCACCCATTGGGTTTCAAACCCAGGACCTCCCGGTTACAAGGTAAGTTCGTATACCATACAGTAGGCGAACCTGGAACAAATCAAATCGCTACGAATTCAACAATTAATATGATGCTCGCTGGTGACTGGCTGGAAGACGAAGTTGACTGGAGTCCTAGGGAGAAGTCGTGACCAGTGGGTTCTACCCGGTGGGAAGTGAGAACAAATACCCATCGATGACACCGACTGATCGTCACAATAAAATCACGAATTGATTAGAAGTTAGAATTCATGCAATACTGTAGTAAAAATGTTGAGAATTCCATTCTGTATCACAAGTACTGTTTTTGAATAAAGCAAATTATTATTATTGTTATTGAGGACTCGGGTCCCAGTGGCTTAAATGGTATACGAACTTGCCTAGTAACTGGAAGGTCCCAGGTTCGAACCCTGGAGGTGGGTGAGTACTTCTGATGATTCCGAAACTATGAGGAAGAAACAGCTTCCTAGCACTCCCTGATGGTTTTCAATGGTATCTCTAATTGATATCAATCCGTGATCAAACCTGAAAAGCAAATCACATCCGTACACAAACAAACTCGCGAAAAATAACTCGTTACTTCTGAGAAAAACACTCAAATGATTACAAATTCAAACAGTATAGACAGAATTTTCTGTAGGAATTCTACCATCTATCTGTCTGTCTGTTTCTGACATAGAACTTTGCACAGATGTGCAGCAGTTCGAGTCACACTCCCTCCATATACTACACAAAGCAAGAGAATAAAGTAGAAGACGTGCATAATAGAGACAGTAGACAGGAATGTGAGACAAAAGGAATAGTGATAACGAAGAGCAATATAGTTTCACTCACTTTTTGTAATCTCCTGTACGTATCATTAAGTCTTCATGGTTTACCATGTTACTGTTCTTCCTCTGGTGTATTTTTCCTTGTCTGTTCATCACTCTTCGCATTGTGTAGCAGCTATTGTATGCTGACTCTGGGTCCTTCTCTATGGCTCTGAAACATGGCCAATACGAGTTGAAGACATGAAAAGGTTGACTGTTTTTGATCATAGATGTCTACGATCTCTTTCTCACGTTAGGTGGTATAATAAGATAAGTAATGTTGACGTTAGGTGTAGAGTGTTGGGCAAAGAGGGAAAATCAATCGATGAGGCTATAAAGTTACATAGATTGAGATGGCTAGGTCACATGCTGCGCATGCCTAACCATCGCCTCCCCCGACGGACGGGCATTACTAGCTGGTATAGAGGTGCAGGTTGGAAAAGAGTAAGAGGTGGCCAAACAAAACATGGCCTCATCAATCCATGAAATCCTTGACAGTTAAACTGAGTCAGTCAGGTAGGGAGGGAGATGCAGACTTCCGGGTTGGGGCCCTCGGGACTCTAAGAATCAATGGCTTGAGACAATAGGTGACATGGCTCAAAATCGTTGTCAATGGCTTACGCAGATGTATTCAGTCTCTGTAATCTTTCATATTCCCTCCTACCATTACTCATTCTGTTTCACTTTTATACTTGTCAAAACTCTATTGATTCTCTTCTCTCATTTTCTTGTCTACCTTTGTGTGCTATTTGGAAAGTGGCAACTGGAACTGTTGCACTTCAGTGCCAAGTTCTATGTTGAATCCAGACAGACAGACAGACAGACTCTGGGTAGTGCTTTCGGTGTGACCACAAAGTTGTTGTGATGTCATGTTGGGCTTATGATTATTCAGTAGAGATCATTCAGAACAGTGGTAAACTTGTGGTGAGAGCTGGCTGTGAAAAAGCCGAAATTGTAGACAACAATTTACATCAACGTTACGTCCGGAATTATGGTCATGGGAAAAACAGTAGCAAAGCTTTACCTTGTGGTGGGACTCACCAACCAATCACAGCGGACTTAACGTGTGCAAATGAGATTCGCAGATACATGGCTTTTAACTTTCTGAGAAACGGTCGCAAGCAATACAGAATAACCTTTGTCTTCTGTCGTTACAAACTGATTTGTGTTACCTCGAGACTCTTCGGCAGTGGACCCTCACGACCCTTCAGGTTATTAGGTCGGTGGAATTCAATGACCACCCGTGAATTCTAACCCTGTTAATTATTGACTTTCATCTTCGCTTTGTTCTTTTTGTTTTTGTTTACCCTTGACAGCCTTCACTTCCAAAGGCATCATTTCAGCCACATCATACAGCAGCTGTTCACAATGTTTGTCTACTGAATATGGATGACAGTTCAGCCTTTCAATCATGGTTTAATTTAAGCAGTAGTAATAATTATTCAAAACAGCAAAGTCTTTCTTCACGTTCTTCATCATCTTCATTGTCTGAAGCGAATAATAATAATAATAGTGAATGTCTTTCACGACATGGTTCACCACCTCCATTGACAACAACACCAGCAACAGCCCCATTCGGTGGTGGTATAACAGCAGCAACTGGACTATTTTCAACTGGTGGTATATTGAAAAAAGAATCATTTTCCAGTTCATCTGTCGGGAGTAATAGTCCAAATCGTTCAAGTCCAACATTCGACTTTTCACCACAATCATCGTCATCACCATCAGTTAGTTCATTGTCATCTTCCCCGCTAGGAGCTGCTACACAATTTTTAAAATCAGTTGTTAAGTGAGTTCTTATAAATGTGTTAGTTATTGTGATTAATTTTGTGACTCCAAACTGTTGAATTTCAGGAAGACTTACATATTTTAGTATTGGAAAGGTTGTGTATCATGGACTAATTTATATACTACAACATTGGACCGACTAGTAGGCGGTTACTAGCATGCTGAAATCTGATTGGTTAGTTATACTACCAATATTTAGGCGTCTATCAACGTGGTGGAATTTGATTGGTTGGTTACCTGATTAAATGTATACAGGAAATCAACATTTCAATATTGCAAAAATGTTCATTCAGACATCTATAAAACACAAAATAATCGAGCAAAGAATATTCTTTTCGATAAATTCCTCTTCCAGGCTCTACAATTATATATATGTTTATATACACAGAATATTTTAAATTAGTAGTTAATAACAATATTAGCGTTTTTTAAAATAATATCGATTTGTAAAGTATGATCAATGCTATTGCAGTTCATTAAAGATGCTTAAATTATAATAATAATAATAATAATAATAATAAAGATATAACAGCGAATAGAATATCAACTAAAATTAGGGAAATTCCACAAAAATTCTGGATTATTCAAATCTGGATGGTCAAGGTAATGATAATGACTGAACTAACTTCTTTTGGATGCATAAATTAGGCTTATTAATATGGATCCCCACAGCCTCAGCAATATTTAGAAGTCGAACTCTTAAAGCGAAATTGAGATTCGTAGGTATGCGGTAAATGACCCTGAAAGCATGATTAACGTCAATCTTGTGTTCTGTCTCCACAAGATGCGCCAGAATAGCGCTGCGAATAGATTTTGTTTGACCTTTGCTTAACCACACAGGGTGATGTTCGGAAATTCGACGCGAAACACGCCTAATTGTACGGCCTATGTAACTGGCTCCACAGGAGCAGTTAAATTGGTATATACACATGGAAGAGGCGAAATTAGGCAGTTTGTCTTTTATTCCCGAACGCAGAAGAGGAGTGGTTTTAAAGATACAGCGTAATTGAGCAGCAGGGAATGCTCTTTTTACCGCATTTCTGAGGCGCTGTGTTAGTATCTCACTTGTATTGTCTCCTAGGAACTGCATCTGTAAGAACAAGGCTTTCTTTGGAACTGTTGGTAACTTGGACTGTTTTGGTTTTAGATTCATATTCTTATCAATAAACTTTTCGGGATAACCATTCTCACTTAGCAACCGTTTAATATTGTTAAGCTCCTCGTCAAGACATTCATCCGAGCAAATCTCTCTTGCTCTGTGGACCAAGCACTTTATTAGATTGCGTTTGTATTTCAAGGGCACAAAGCTGAGAAAATGTGTGTACTGGCCCGTTGATGTAGGTTTTCTATAAACACTTCTTATTGTGCCATCCTCTTTTCTGGTCATAAGGACGTCTAGAAATGAAATACTAGAGTCTTTTTCTTTCTCAATAGTAAAATTTATTGCAGGATGTACCTCATTAAATTTATCCAGGATGTTCTTTGCCTCCTTTTCGTTCTTCATAATCAAAAAAGTATCATCCATGTATCGACAATAAAATTCGAGTTCATTAATAACATCTTTCAAAGGCCCATTTTCTAGTTTTGCAAGGAAAATGTCGGCTAGAATGGGTCCTAGTGGCGACCCCATTGCCACACCGTCGATTTGTCTATACAGTTCCTTATTAAATATAAAGTGGACATTCATTGTACATTTCAAGAGAAGCTCCTTCATGAAAGATATAGGAATGCCAACCTCGATGTTTCGTCTTTTGAGTTCTTCACATATAAAGTCCACTGTTTCCATGAGAGGTACATTGGTGAATAAAGAAGATACGTCAAATGATATCATGAATTTATTGTCAACATTTAAATCTCTTATCCTTTCAACGAATCCAAAAGTATCCTTTACATTATGTTTCACCAACTCAGTATGAAGGGGCTGTAAGAGTTCAACTAACCATTTGGCTACCGGATGGTACGGTGAATTTAGCATATCTAATACTGGTCGTAGCGGTACACCATTTTTGTGCACTTTAGGCGAGCCATATAGTCTTGGTGTGAACGTTCCGTTGGGTTTAAGTGACGTGTACTGACTCTGTGAGATGAAGCCTTGTTGTTTCAGTCTTTTCAGTGTTTCCGCCAACTGCATCTCTATCTTTTCAATCAGATCCAGAGAAGAGGAGATTTTTTGGAATTTTGACTTATCATTAAGAATAGTATTCATCTTCTCAAAGTAATCCGCTTTGTTCAAGATAACCACTCCTTATCCGGTCTTGTTATTATTATGTTGTCATTTTTGCGGAGAGTATCCAGGGCTTCTCTATGTTTTTTGGTTAAGATACTATCTGAATTGCGTTTACTGTTCATGTAATAATAGCAGCAGTCGACCAGCGTTGATTTAAATCTTTCAACATCTTCAGTATTTGTATCATTTATATTCTGACTGACAGACTGGCTATTTATCGATTGAGTTTGTAGTTGCACACAACACTTTATGAAATTATGATAATTGTTAATTTGCACCAAAGAGGAAAGCGAGTGACCTAGATGAGGTCGTTAAGATTAATGAATAGAAGTTCTTAATTATATGCCTAAAAGTCGTTTACCCTAGTCCCTAATATTATTCACTTTTAATAATCTATCTATATTCCAGAACATTTCTCTTAAGGTTCATTTAATTATCCCATTATTATACTTATGCTATTATATTGTAGTGTTACCCTGATTGACTTCAGTAAACTTAGGCAGTGAGTAGTCACAGCCTATTTGGGGTATGCAGTTGACATATGATCCTTCTAGGTGTAGACGTTGACAAAGTGCGATGTCTTTCAAGCACTTTGAAGAGAAATCTTAATACTTTTAGTTTGTGATTCTCTCCTATTTGACGTGAGGTGATGTTGCAGGACTGGTTTGCACCAGTTTCTAGTTTGGAGTGAAGTGGTGTTGAGAGTGTTGACCACACTACTTACTTGGAAAGTAGCATCTCAGGTTGAATAAAAAAAGCTCGTGTGGTATTTGCCGAATTACGCTATGTTTGACGTAGATGTGATATCCGGCTGACTGTCGATGAAAGAACGTGTGTTACTCCTCCCCCTTTATGACTATAAGCCACCCACATTGAAAGTGGAAGATATGACAAAGGCTGCCTACCTTTGATGACTTATGTTTGCGTTCTATTAAACGTTCTAACTGGTATAATAATATGAATAATACTGAGGTCATGCATAGACGACTAGGTAAAGGAGGGAGGTCAATGAATAAAGTTGTGAATATACACTGATTGAGATAGATAGGACACCTGTTATACAAATGACTGACTAGCTATCGCTTTCCTCGATGGGCAACGTTCCTCAAAATAGGATTAAGTTGGAAAAGAGGTAGAGGTGGTCAAACCAAAATCTGGCATCAGTGCATGAAATTCTTGACAGTTTTAGCCGGCCAAATAGGGAGGTGTTGACTTCCTGACTGGTTGTCGTCCTCTGGATAGTAAGAACCAATGACTTTGAGAAAATTGATGATGCGGCTGTAAATCTTTACCACTGGTGCATATGCATTCACTTCTCTGTAATCATCCGGATCCACTTACTCCCCCTCCCTCTCGTGTGGTTTTTCATGTTACTGTCCTTTCTCTTGTGATGTACACATGCAGAATCTTTTTTTAACTTGGATTCATTTTTTTCGCATTTACTGTTGTTACAGTTTTGATTACTTGTCACTGGTTGGTATGAGTGTGTCAGTATTATCCAACTACTGAAATGTTATTAAGTAGACAAATTTGTTCAAGTATTGGTTTTGTAGAGATTTTATTTGATTCGATAGAGGATTTCAACATGAGCTGACATCAGTTAGAGAACCACTGGAAAACCTGGGAGTATTGGACAGCTGTTTCCTACGCCCTAGTTTGACACACTTCGGCAGTACGCACCCACCGGGGTCCGAATCCAGGACCTTCTGGTTACCAGGTGAGCTCGTAGACCATTAAGCCACTGGGACCCGACCCAATGACCAACCCATGAATTATAACTTCTGTCAATTCACGACACAGCGCGACCATTTCGCAATATCTTCTTCGATGAGTTACTGCCTCATCTTCAACCTGCCGTACCCTACTGGTCATGGCTTCCCACTAGAGAACCTCAGGTCAACTGCCTGAATAGGGCCAGTCGCCAACTGATGACAGCTCATGATGAAATCCTCCATCCAATCAAAAAATAAATTACCATAATTATTTTCTAATTGTAATGTAGGCAGAAATGAATTCTTTGTCTAGCTAGATGTATACACTACCCTATGGATGCTTAATCATATCGATTATATTATGAAACAAAGATTATTTCAATATGATGTGATGTCGTAATCAAACGTCTTATTATTGGCTATAATTTTTGTTTTGATGTGCGTGTGTATGTGTGTGTGTGTATATATATATATATATATATATATATATATATATATATATAATTTCGGAAACATTTATATACATTACTATCCTTTGATTGATGGATGGATGATACGTCAATTCTGATTGGTTAATATTCCACTCTTTGTTTCAACGTGACATAATATTTATTCAACCTGACAATTACTGAAAATAAGTTGAATCATGGAGTGATGTCAGTTTGTAGATCATTGAAAACCACTACACGGTACTGTTTGACAGCTGTTTCGTCCTAGTGTGAGACTCTTCAGTAGTAGTGCGCACCTACCGGGGGTCGAACCCAGGGCCTTCCTGACATCAAACCATGGAACAAATCAAATTCCTACAAACGAAATCTTGTAAAATAATCTGATGCTTGTTGGTTAGTGACTGTGTACAGGACTTAGTTGCTCGGAGTGAGGAAAAACACTCGCTGATGACATTGACTGGTTGTCGCTCTAAAAGATCATGAATTTAATGGAAGTTGGAATTTATGGAGTCGTTGGATCGGGTACCGGTGATTGGGTAGGTGGGTAGTCTATGAGATAGCCTATTAACCAGAATGTCCTGGGTTCCAACTCTGATGGGCGCGTACTGATGAA